GCGGCCCCTGTCCTGCGCTGCCCTGCCCTGCCCTGCCCCCCCCCCCGCCCCCGGGGGCGGGGCCCGCGCAGGCGGAGCTGCCCGACGACGGGGGCGTGTTCCCGGAAGGCCTGCGCGCGCGCGCGCGGGCGGGCGGGCGGCCCGCCCTGGAAGATGAACGTCCAGAGGATTGCGAAGGCCTTACGGCAGGTGCCGCCGACCCTGAAGATGAGGACGCTGACCACGACGAGGTAGAAGGAGGAGAAGTAGGGCGATCATGGGGAGGAGCCGCATGAGGAGGAGGAGGTTGACGAGGGTGGGGGGGGGAGGTGGAGGCAGAGGTTCAGGGGAGGGGGGGGGAATGGAGGGAGCTTAGTTGTGAGGGGGGGGGGAGACTCGCGCGCGCGCGGGCGGGCGGGCGGCCCGTCTGGGAAGACGAACGTCCAAAGGATATTTCAAACTACGGCGCCCAGACAACAAGTGTCCACACCCATGGCGGTAAGGCGATGCAACACGACAACAACCACAGCTGCGAGATGCCCTTGCTTCGCCCCCCTCCCCCCGAGACCACAGTTGGGAGTGTCCTGTTAGTGCGAAGGGAGCTTGCGGACGGGCACGGGATTGAGGGGACAAATGACGGCCACACGTTCACCAGTCTCCGCATCTCCACTATATCATTGCTCAAGCTTGCCGGGGTTCGCTCGCCGGAGCCTCCCCCGCGGGCCCTCCACTGCCGTGGCGGCGGCCGTGCTCCATGGCCTGCTGGCGGTAGGGCTCCGGGGATGTTCGCCCCAGCCCGGCTGCCCGCTGCCGGTGTGCCCACAGCCGGCGTTCCCGACTCCTGTCTGCCCTGTCCCGGAGCCGGCGGCGGGGCCGCCAGACCCGGGCCCGTCGGGAGGCTCTGCGGCGCTCGACTCGGGTGACGTGCCCGAGGAGCTGGCTGAGATCCGCTTGGCCGCCGTCCGCCTGGAGGAGCAGATCGCGCTGGTGCAGGCGTCGGGCGAAGAGAACTATGCACATGCACCGATCCTGGCAAGGCCCATCCTTGACCCAGGATCGGTGCATATGCCTTCCTGGCCAAGGTAGGAGGGCGTATGCACCGATCCTGGGCTCAGGATGGGCCTGGCCAGAATCGGTGTATGTGCATAGTTCCTTTTCCTCTAAGGCGGCACTCGAGGCGGCCTGTAATCTCTGGCCAGTAGTCTGGGTGTTCGTGGGCGGCTTCATTCGCGACGTGACGGGTCGAGTCCTCGGCTTCTGTGACCGTCGGCGCAATGCTGCCAAGTCGAAAGTTTCAGCTCTTCTTGGCGAGCGGCCTCGTCGTGGTGGACTCTTTGCGTGAGCTCCGGCCGTGCCAGCGATTTCTTCTGTGGTACGGGGACGACGCGTACTGGCACGAGCGCGTCGCGCTGGCACGAGGGCGGTCTGGAGTGTGGATCAACACGATGCCAGATGGTGATAGGTATCCTGAGAATGTTCGATGTTGCCGCGGCACTTCGGGCGCGGGGCAGGCTGTGTTGCTGGACCCCACATTCGACGTGCTGAGCGATATGCGTAGCCAGTTCTATCGGTTTCGTGCTGAGCTGGGGGCGGCCGACCTGGGGGAGCCGATCAAGCTCGCGGAGGGCGAGACCTTCGGCATCACCCGACGCCATCGAGGATCCCGAGGCCAGCCACGTCCAGTACCGCGCGGTGATGGGCTCGGACGGCGACCAGTTGGTGTCTCTGGCGGTGGCCGCCGGTGGAGGGCCCGCCGCGGTGGCGGCTGGCGGCGCCGCGCTGCCTGGGCCGACGCCCGGCGGGGGCCCGTCGCGCGCCACCTGGCTCATCACCACGCGGACCGGCATCGAGATGGAAATAGTTTTTGGACATCCTGTATCTGAGCGGCTGTTACGACCGGGTGAACGGCCCTTCGCTGGCTTGCATCGAGTCGGTCTCGAGAGGAGTGCCAGATCATCGAGGCGTGCTCGACAGGCGTCTTCGGGCGTGCGAGCTGGGAGTGCGTGCGGCCCTTCGCGCCCATCTCCACAGCGGCTTCGGTAGTGCCGCCCGAGCTCCGATCGTGCGCCCACCGCCGGGTCGAGTAGGAGGCGGGTATCGAGGCCCTGCGGCTGTGCGCGCGTGGCCTGCTGCCGGCCGGCGGCGCCGACGCCTCTCAGTCCCCGGGTGCCGCCAGTGCCGGAGGTTGGGGGGGCCGCGACGCGGCCAACGGCGACGAGGGTGCTGGGCGTGGGCAGCCTCGCCTGCAGAGCGCAGGTGCCGACGATAGGGAGAAGGCCACGCTGAAGTCGGGGTGGTGGGCCAGGCCGGCGCTGGCGGTGGTCGACTCAGTGCTGGGGGCCCAGACCGAGTGGCGGGCGACGATCGCGTGAGCCATGCTGCCCCTTCCTCCTGTCCCTCTCTCGCCGGCGCCGGCTGTCCCGAGCAGACGTGGTCGCTAGACCGCGGGCCTGCGAGGCCACTTTGGTCGTCTGAATGCCGTCGTCAACGCTGCCGTGAAGGCTTCGAATTGGATGGCAGGGGGCCGGCACCAGCCCGTTTATGGGCCGCCCCGAACCCCCGAGCAGGCTAGCGTGCATGCGCGCATCCGAGATAGGATCGCCTCCCGTGTGACCTCGGACGTCGCGATCCCTGGCCGGCGAGTGGCTTATCTCGAGCTGCTGCACGGCCAGGCTGTGTGCGATACAGAGCCCCGTGGACGCAACTAGGCCAGTTTCTCCCATGTCGCCTCTGTGAGCCTGCCAGACAGTCTCGAGGGCGCCCCTTCCGCGCACGAGGTTGCGGGTCCAGAGTCGAGCCAGTTTTTGGGGCAGAAATGCGAGCGCATGCTGCGCACCCCTTCGGACTATTTGGAGCGACGGGAGTCGTTTCCCCCTATGGGCCCTTATTGGGACCCCGCGCTCTCTCGCGGCCGCCGCAAGTTTTTGCGGCTGATGCGGGCTCTTCTCCGGATTGGCCCGGTGGCGCTCCTGCCTGTCGGGTCGCCCCGGGAGCGAGTCGGAATGATTTCTCGTGAAGAAGACCAGAGAAAGCAAGAGTGGGCTCATAATTGACGCTCGTCGTGCGAATGGGCGTTTCGGTGATCCTCCTGGAGTCCACCTTTGCTCGTCCGAGAGCCTCGCTATAATCGAGGTCGCTCTCCCGCCTGGCTGTTCCAGTCTTCCCCCCGATCAGCTTCGTAGCGCCCGGATGTTTCTGAGGCTGGCGGATGTTGAAGATGCTTTCCATCGGCTTCGGCTTCCCGAAGGCGGGGCCAGTTTCTTTGGGTTGGGCACCGCTACCGCGGGGGATTTGAACGCTGTTGGCCGGGGCCTCAATGGGGCCGTCTTGGGGGTTGCTGACCAGGTCGATATCTGCCGGGCATTTCCCCCCACGGGCTTCTCTTGGTCCTTGTGCTTTTGCTGGCGAGCGGGGTGGATGGGGTGGGGGGGCGGCGTATATCTGAAGTTCCCGGCCTGTCTGGGTCGACCTTGCTTCGAGATAGTGGAAGGCCAGGCGTCTTCCGCTTCGTCGAGCGTGAGAAGCCAGATGGGGAGGGGGGCCGTCTTGGAGGGCTCTGGTGTTTGTCATTATATGTACGTCGACAACCTCGGGGCCCTGTCGCCCGACCCTGCCCTCGCGTCCTCCATCCTGTCGGACGCCGCAGGCCGTTTTTGAGGAGTTGGGGCTGATGACCCACGAGCACGAAGTGAGCGTTGCCTCGTCAAAGGCCCTGGGGGCTCATCTTGATCTCGAAGGGCTCGGAGTTGCGCTCGCGCCCGCCCGCTTTTGGAAAATGCGGCAGGGGGTGCTCTATGCTCTGTCGTGTCGAAGGCTTCCCGGGCGAGTGTAGGAGTTGCTGTTGGGTCACCTCGCGTTTTGTGCCCTGACCAATCGGAGTATGAGGAGTGTCTTCAGAAGTCTGCCGTCAATAACAAGTGCAATGCCACGCCTATGCCTCCGTGGACTACGGCTCGTCAGGACGCGTTGACCGCGGCCTCCCTGTTGTTCCTCGTGGATGCCTCGTGGGCCCTGCCCTGGCCCCCCCGCAGAAGTGGCCGCAGATGCGTCGGAGGAGGGCCTCGGGGCCACGGTCTCATATTGGGACCCCGTGCAGGTTGCACGGGTGGGGGAGATCAGGGAGAGGGGGCGTTTCCGGAGGCTTTTTGGAATTTCATTCAGCTCGGGCAAGGTTTTGGGAAGCTTGGAGGGGCTGGGGTCCGACGCGGACGACGATGAGCCTGACCGCCCTTATGAAGTCGATGGTAGTTTTCCCGACGCCCCCCTGAGCTTCTTTCGGAGGCCCACTGGAGTATCCCGCTGGCCGGGCCCTGGAAGTACTTCGACGAGGGCATTTTCTTTCTGGGGGCGAGGGCCTTGCTCCTCGGTTTCCAGGCTGTGGTGAGCGTGTGCCAGATTACGAATGCGCGTGTGCTCTTCTTGGTGGATATCGCGGGGGCGTGCTTGGCCTTCGCCCGGAGGCGTGCTGCAGATTTCAGAGCTCGTGTATGTGTGAGACGTATGGGAGCCTGGTGTTTGTCTCTTGGGCTGCGCGTCTGCTTCCGCTGGATGCCGTCGGAGTGGAGCGCGGCAGATGAACCTTCGCGACGTTTCTCCGTGGAACATGTTGGCTCACTGGCTGATCTCAGCTGCGCTGGTGATCCCGTGCTTCATCTACCCGCGCCAGGGCGCGATGCCTGGCGGCCCCGGCTTCGGCCTGGCACGGGGCGTGCCGCGGGCGAGGGCTAGGGCAGATCGCCGGCCCGCGGGGTCGGCCACCACTCCCACGAAGCAGGTCGCCTCGAGGAACCTGGTGGCCACGGCGCCGACGCCGACGGCTGACCGGCCGACCCGGGCCCGTCGCTCGGAGCTGGGGGGCGAGCGGGTGAAGCGGCTCAAACGGACACTCGCGGGCATGGACCTGACGCCGCTCGACGATCTGACCGATGCTGCGACCGCGGCGAATGACGAGGACGGCGACGCGATCTCCGACTTGGTGAAGATCGCGGGGCTGCCAGCGCGAGCGGCGCGGGGTTTGCGCCTCCGCAGTGGGCCGGGCTCGTCAACCTCTCGAATCAGGTCGCCTTCTGGGGTCCAACGCTGTCCAGGCGAATACCAAGCTTCAGTATCGCGAGTGGTCATCGGGTGGAAAGGGCGCGCCCGCGAGCTTCGCGAGCCTTCCGGTGTGGCTGCCGAGGTGGGCGAGTCGGTGGCGCGGCCCCTACAAGGGCTCTTCTACGAGGGCGAGGACGTGAGCAAGGGCGAGAGGCTGGCCGGGCTGGGGCATTTCCTGCCCGAGTTCGGGCGGAATGGCAGTCTTCGCCTGCCGCGCAGTTGTCGTGCGCTCAAAGGTTGGATGGGGTCGTTGCCCGCCTTGATCGCGCCGCCCCCTGGCCCCCAGCATCTGGGCGGCCACCGTTCGGGAACTCTTCGGGGCCAGCTGCTGGCGGGCGGCGGCGTGCGCGCTGTTTATGCAGGTGACGTGCCCGTGGCCGTCCAAACCCCTGAACTCCTGACAGAGAACTTGTTTGCGTCCGTGCACGTATTCTCTGCCCCGTGGATTTGCTTCGCTTCCCGGCAGGGGAAAGGTCAGGCCTCGGAGACGTGCGCGACGGACGAGAGCGTCGGCCTCAGCTGCCGGCGGGTGCCGTTTCTTCCGATTGTGATTGCAGCGCTGCGAGCAGGGGATGCAAAGGACATGGTGTTCAGCTTCCCCTGCAGTGCCTTCGCGCGCCAATTCAAGCCCCCCTGCAAGGAGCTGGGGGCGGCCGCTGTCCCTCATCAGGAGGGGGGCGCGCAGGCGCCTCAGCCGACGCCGCCGCGAGGTGCTGGACTTGCGCCGAGATCAATTGCCAAAGGACATGGAAGGCGGACAAGTCAGTGTGGCGCTACGACAGCAAGGCCAGGGTGGTAGAAAACGTCGACAAGCTGCTCGACTACTTGGCGTCGTACGTGAAAAAGTGCGAGCTCCAGCTCGGGCCCCCTTTTTGCGGCCGTATCGAGCCTTCGGTCATCGCGCGGCCCGCCATCCCGATCTCGGCCCCGAAGAAGCGACGCCATACCTGGCTGACCTTTTTGGCGGGGCGGGCGGAGTGGGCCGAGCGGCGGGCACGTGTGGCATCCGTGTTAGAATGTAGGGCGCATCTATTCCAGATAATTTGGATTTCACGAATCCGAGTAATATCAAGCTTCTCTGCTCGGAGGCAGAAGCGAATGAGCTCGAGGCCGCCGTGATTGCTATTGAATGCCGCTCTCGGGGTATAGCGCGCCACAGGACCAACGTAATCCGATCGCGAGCTGAACCCCTGGGGGAGTTCCCAACCCCCCGCAAGCCCTTCTCGGACAATGATCGGGAAGCCCTCAGGAGCGGAAATCTCCAGGCTCGTCGGATCCTCAAGTTCATCAGGTTTACCCACGCTGTGGGCATCCCGTGGGCAGTCGAGAATCTCATCACAAGTATCCTCTGGTTGGCCCCAAGCTTTTTTTGCAGCTCGCAAAGGACCCAACTGTGCATGTAAAGACTATCGACCAGTGCTCGTTTGGAGTACCGTGGCGAAAGCGGGTCCAGCTTGTTCTTGGAACTTATGATGTTCCTGACGTCTTTTTATGCGATCAACGCGTGTGCCAAGGGCGGGGGGTCTGCCAGTTCTCGGGGAAGCGTCATGTTAAGCTCGAAAGAAAATGAATCAACATGAAGGTATTCCCAGGCCGAAACTTACCCACCCAAGTTCTCTCAGCTCTTGACCAAGATCTTACGCAGTGCCGCGGTGTACCAGCGAGCTCATCTCTACTCCATCAACTCATAAGCGTACTTCCTCGTCGGGACGTTTTGGGAATCAGCTATTATAGTATGTGGAGCATTTCTCATTCGCATTATGGCATCAGTTTGGGGCCAGTGCGCGAAGACGGTGGCAGAGTTGATGAGACACATTGCTGACCAGAAAAAGGATTACAAGCCCCGTATGTTAGTGCGAAGGGAGCTTGCGGACGGGCGCGGGATTGAGGGGGCAAATGACGGCTACACGTTCACCATTCCCCGTAGCTCCATTTTATCATTTCTCAAGCTTCCCCACTCCCCCCTTGCCCGTGTCGTCTCGACTCCACGTTTCAAGGGGGGGAGCCAGCTATAGCGTTCTCACATCCGTTTGGGACCAGTGCGTGAAGACGGTGGCAGAATCGATGAGACACAATGCAGACCAGAAAAAAGATCGCAGGCCCCGCAACATTTTGTCCCTGGCCTGTGGCCTACCGCCTACACCCATCAACTTTGAATGTGGGGGAAGGGGGGTATACATTCTAGTCCAACGTGCTTTGATACCTCAAGGTCTTGGCGAGACACGCTCGTGTATTTGAGTCCACCCACCGTGTGAGGAATCCAGGAATCTGTGTTTATCTATTTGCGTGTCCCTGGCCCCTTCAAGCCTTGCTGCGAGGAGCACCGCTCTATGATTTCTTAAAACAACGTGGAGCAGCGGAGCCGCACGGGAGTTTTGGAATGGATGCTGACGGGTTGAAGACTGGCTGCAGGCTGTAGACACTCGA